AAAGTAATAAAAGTGAGGATAAAAAAACATTTTTATTGAAAAAACTTATCAAAATAGGAGAGAAAGACAAATAATTAAAAACGTCCCAAAAAGGAATACAAGACAATTAATAAAGAACGGCGGGACTATTACTATAGAATATTACTACAGTAATCACTAAAATTTAAAAAAATGGATACCCTCTTAATTAGTGAGCTTTATCTACAGAATTTTTTAACTTGTTCATAACTGGCCCTGCTTGTGTAGGAATCAAAGTATCAAACAAATAGATAGTATATTGAAAACATGGGCAGAACCCATAACAGTTTGAAAAGAGAAAACATGCAGATAAAAAACTCATGGATATAATTTTTTAAAATGTTCAGAAATAACATACTATGTATATACTAGTAATTTTTTATATGTTGGCCACCTTGTCTACGCCCAAGAGGCCATGACTAAGGATATGTGTTGCGGTTGATATTTTTATTTTGTTTGATTTTAACGGTAGCCGTTAAAACGGGAATTATAAAGACAAATAAATAGGGGTGGGATCAGGTTGGGTCGGGTTTTGGCTAGGACCGTAAAACCCCCTAAAAGTTTCGGGTTCTACATTTTTGAACCCGACCGGAGGACCAAAACTTTCGGGTTGGTCTGGGTTTTAAGAGCCTCGGGTTCGGGTCAGGTTGGGTCGAACCCGAAAAAAATCGAACTGAGATATCTTAAAACAATTGAAATACAATCACAAAAAAATGCTAATATCTGAACATTTAATAAAAAATATAAGTATGTTAAAACCAAAGCAATATATTTTGAATCTAAATAAATCACACCATAGAAAATGTTGTGGAAGAACAATTGGTTCGAAAACAAAGTAATATTCCCTCCGTCCCAAATTGATTTACAAATTCAAGATTTTTTTGTCAATCAATGTTAAAATTTACATATTCAAAAACTACGTTAAAATCTATTCAAAGTTGCGAACTTCAAATTAAATATAATTAAAAATTGACATCCAAATTAAGTGAATAAATTGGAATTGTTTGACTAAAAATATCAATTTTGCAAATCAATTTGGGACATGTATAGTATAAATCGGTATGATATATTAATAGGTCATACATATTTTATATAAAATATATATTTTTTAGTTACTTAATTAAATCGGGTTTTTTCGGTCCGGGTCGGGTTTAAAATTTTAGAACCCGAATTAGGACCCAAGTTTCCAGGTTCGGGTCGGGTATTTTAACCCGGACCGGTCATTTTTAAAATAAAACCCGGACCAATGTCTTATATCGGATTGGGTCGGTTCGGTTATCGGGTTTTGGGTCGATTTATCCCATCCCTACAAATAAATAGGGACAATGTTTTGTCAAATACGAGTAGATTATTTTTCATAGGTAAAGAAACAAAATATGTTTCGAGAAAGTAACCTCTCTAGCATAAACTCCGTATTAACTACTCCCTCCATTTCACAATCAAAATCACATTTTGATTTCACAAAGATTAAGATTTTTTGTACTGCGGCGGGTAAGTTATACTGTAGAATAAACTGTTTGGCTCTGTTTTGCTTTAATTTGTACTGTATTGATATAGATTTCTTTCCTAAATGGGAAGTAATGGGAAGTGTGACTTTTATTTTGGTACATCCAAAAAAGGAAAGTGTGACAAGGAATATTAACAATGAATAAAAGTTGACGAGACATTGAAATGCTTAGGCTGACCACAACCCAGCTCTGTTAATAAAACAAATTTACTACGGAGTATCAATTTATACCTATTAACTCCGTCAATTCAGTTTTTGCTGCAACCCATTACTGTAAATATATTCACACAGTAAAATTTTTCTTAATTAAAGCTTCCTTTAATTATTATACTTTTACTACAGAGTATTATATATCAATTTTTTTGCCTTTTTTTTGCGAATAATTGTGATTTTAAAAAACAAACATTTCCTTATAAAAATAAGGGAAAAAGAATTAAAAGACTCCAAACTTTGAAGAGGTGTGAGATAAACATCCCAAACTTGCATGTGTAATTTAAATACCCAAAACTTTATATAAAAAGTTATTTTAACACCATGATCATGTATTATTTATTTCAAAAAAGTATGTTTATGGTGTTAGTTGCATAATTTAAAATAGCAAATTGAGAAAGTTGCAATTATATAGAAGTTGGGGGTAATACTATTTATTTTTAAATTGAAGTTTAGAATGTTAATTGTATCTTCATGAATACTAAAATATTTTAAATTATGAAATTAACACAAAAAATTAACAATTTGAAAAGAAATAATACATGGCCATGGTAATTAAATAACTTTTTATATACAGTTTGGGGTATTTAAATTACATATGCAAGTTTGGAGAGTGATAGAGTATTAATCATAGAGAGAAAGGAGAGCTAGAGAGAGAGAAAGTGAGAATTAATATTTCTCAACCCCCTACAACTACCCCTAGGGGGCTATTTATAGGGGGATGTAGATTTGGGCTCCTAGCCTTGGGCTTAGGAGGCCCATTACAATAATAAGGTCTCTTATGAGTTGAGTGCATGATTTATTTGACTAAGTATAGAATATCATTCTGTCAGAGCATTTCTGGCCGACGGGTGACCAGGCCGACGGAGTGCCTAACCGACGGAGGACCACTTTCACTTCTGGGCTTCTGGGCTATACTCTGAGTATTTTTTGGTTTCGGCCGATGGAGGACCATCTGGCCGACGGAGTGCCATGTGGGCGCCAGTCTTTTATATTTGATCCCTTGAGTATGTAAGCCATGGGTCCGGGTCCATATTATCAGGGTGCTTACCTCACACCCCTTCAGAGTTTGGGGTATTTTCATTACTTTTTGCTAAAAATAAATAAATTTGGAGTTTAATTTTTTTTTTTATCGTTACTTCAAGCCTTTTTTTAACAAAAGTAATTAAAAAAATTAAAATATGTTTTAACCATGAGATTTGAATTTTTGAGCCGAAAACTATTTAAGAAAAGTTTTGGATCTAAAAATCAATAGGAGTTGAAATGTTATATTTTTTCCTTTACCTCTATATATGTGATATTCGTGTCATATGAAAGATCATAAAAAGTAATGAATTTTGGTATATTTTATATAAATTTTGAATTCCAATTAAAAAGTTATAAAACTTTAAAAAGAATTGGGATTTACAATTATCATGGGACCCACTCTTTTTCTTTATCTGGCACGAGCCTGCGCTGTTTTTTTTTTAATACAAGTGTCGGTGCTTGCACTCCCCTAATCCTGAAGTCTATGAATTACCCTCCAAAGCTAGCCCCTAGACAGTTAAATCTGGATCTGATCACAGTTAGCCTCGTTGGTACTGGTTTCACAGGACGAATCCAGCAGGACATCGAATCCATCACTTGTGCGCCAGGCTGTAACAGGGTAGTACTCCTACCACGCGAATCCGCTAAACTGCATTACCATCCTCTCCCTCGTTAGCCGCTGAGCAACTCCGTGAAGGTAGGAAGAATCTTTGGGAGCAAGACCTCCCTCATCTTCCCTTAGGTGCTAGTGGGTTTCGAACACGAGACCTCTCATACACTTTATAAAAAATTGGGAAAATAATCAGTAGTACACTTTGCTCATTTTACATTTTGGTTGTGTTGAATTTGAAAAATTATAACATTTTACTTGTTATGAGTTACATGATCCATTGTAACGGTAGTTTTACCTACCATTAGTATTACTAGCTAGTAGTTGAGAATCAGTTGTAAAGTTGTTGATATAACTGTTAGAAGTAGCTATGATACATGTCTATAAATAATGCTGGGAAGTATCAATAAAAGCAGTTCATCACTATTCCAAACATTTTACGTTCCTTCCAGTTAGTTATGACGTTTATCTTTTAACAAACGTAGTCGCCACTAACAGTCAAGTAAAGCTCATGTTACATTGGTTAAGCCGCCATTGAAGCCATGGAGGAGCAATTACAAGCTCTCGCTTAATAAAATTTGCAATTCCAACAAGATATCAACAACAATTTCAACAATTGTTGTTGTAATGGATTTACAAAAGAAAGTTGATAAAGATTCTTCTTTGAACTCACCAAATTTCATTCATCACAGCGACAAAGGGAGAAACCATACTAAATCACTGGGGTATATTCCTAAACTTGAATTCCCTCATTTTGATGGTAATAACAGTAGTATGTAGATAAAGAAGTGTAGAAATATTTTGCTTTGTGTCAAATACCTGAGGAACAAAAGGTTGATATTGCTTCTTTGAATATGTCTATGAAGGCCGAAATTTGGGTAACCAATTATTTAGCTGATAAAATTGATGTAAGCTAGCTAGAATTTGAAGAAGATATAACAGCTAGATTTAGAACTTATATGGAAAGAGATGTGGTTGAAAGAATTTAATAGATGTCAACAGAAACCCACCCTTGATGCTTATATTGATGAATTTAAAGAACTCAAAAGTTTGATAAAAAGATCTCATCTTTTATCTGAAAAATATTTTTTAGACCGTTTTATTGGAGGATTGAAATCATATCTGAAAGCATTTGTGAGAATCACGAAACCTACAACCAATGTTCTAGAACTCGCTAGGCGCTAGTCGGGCGCCGGGGCACCGCCTAGCGCCTAGGGCGCCTAGGCGCCGACTAGGCGCCGACTAGGCGCCGCCTAGATATTTAGTTTTTATTTTTATTTTCCTAGAATTGTACTCATATAAATGATAAAAAAAGTATTATTAATTATACTACACAAAGTTTTTTTGTAGCAGAATACTAGGAATATGGTGTCAAAAGTGCATAGAATATATAAGAAGTCTTAACTATACTGCTTTTTTGGAAGTAAAGTTTTTTGAGAACTTAATGGTCAACATTTCCTTCAAATTTGAGAACATAGATCTTTGTTCAAATGGAAGTTTAAACTTCAATCTGGGCTCATCCTTCTGGGCACCAAACGGCCAGGTGTATGCAAGATTCTAAGTTCTGACAAAACTGAAATGCTGTTCTAATTTTTAGAGACTGAAATACTATTCTAGCTTCTAACATATCTGAAATACTATTGCAAATTCAGTTGTATGCAACTGCACAAATCATAATACATTGTTCATGATTCCCCAAAAATAAGACATTCTTCATGACAATAATGATCAAGCAAAAAGCAACTATTGTTCACCCAAAAATCAGAAATATTAGTTAAAAACTACATTAGCAGTGATCACATACTGCAAAAACAACTGCACACAGTCAACCATCAACACATTTGAATATTTGATTAGCACAAACGGACAATCCATGAAGCAATCAACTCCAGTGCCCTATGTCATTTCATCCTCTTCATCCAAGAGAAAATCCATGTCCATATTTGTGTCTTCTGAATCTGATTCAAAGTCGTCGTCATATAGTTCTCTAAGTCTAGCACTTCTTCGTGGTTGGGACAGTTCATTTCCGTCGGAAGCTTCATCAACAACATGATTAATCTCTTCAATTGTTTCATTGACATCAACCAACCATCCTTGTGCATTCCTAGCATCACTTGCTAGTAGATCAATATACTCATCCATTTCTTTCTTTTTCCTTTTCAACAGTTTTGCATTAAATTGGACATAAACAAGACTGTTTAGACGCTTCACATCTAATCTGTTTCTTTTCTTCGAATGAATCTAAACATTAAAAAAAATCAATGCTTAAATAATAAAATTATTTTGGATACGAAAATGTATAATCTACTTCTGAAGTAAGTTAAGTTGTAAAACTTTAAAGTAAAGTAGTGAAAGTTCAAATTACTCACCCATTCAAAAGTACTCCAGTTTCGTTCACACCCGGATGAACTACTAGTTAAAGACAAGATCTTGATAGCTAATCTCTGCAAATTAGGCACTTGATGTCCGTACGTTGTCCACCAATTGGCTGGAAGAAAATATTTATGAAAAGATTGAGGGAGAAAAAAATCATATGAACATATAAAGCATAAAGTGTAAAAGTGCTACTATAGCTAGTTAGCTACTGGAACTGTTCCATGCAGGCAAATGAGTTTTTTATCATTACAGGAATATGGGTTTTATTACTTTTATAGTATGCAGGCAGATTTTGTATGTATATCAGGCTGATTTTTCAAGATGTGAAGTTTGTTCTATTTTATCAACTCTCAAACATACTGGGATTCTATACTATGCATCTAAGCCTCTTAAGTATAAATAAAAACAACTTTAAAACAGTAATAAAAAGTAAATAATCAGATGCATTGAAAAGAAATGATAGAACTTGAAAGTGAAAAACTAGACCTGGATCAAACTTTCCATCATTTACTTGACATCCCTTAATTGCCAGTGCTCTTCCAAAATGTCCTCCCTTGTTCTTGTACACATTGATTTCATTATTGACAACTTCACTTTGCTTCTCGATATCCCCATAATAAAAAGTCTCAACACAATTGAGAAATCCATCCATAACCAACTCATCCAATTGAATGTTTACATCCTTATAGAAATAATAAGGATTCAAAAGGTAAGCAGTAAGATGCAAGTGACTATCTAGCCTATCTTTTTGTTTTTCCTCAATAATAGCAAATATAAGCTGGAAGTTTCTCTCAAGATTATTACTAGCTTCCTTTATAGAATTCTTTGCCTCCAATAGTTTTCCATAAATGAAACCCATTGTTGGCTTATCCCCATCTGCAAACCGAAGGACATTCACCAAAGGAGCATAAATGTTCAAGCATAAACTTAAGGAATTCCAAAAAGCCGTACTCATTACAGTTGCTAAAGCTTGCTTCCCCTTGACTGTTTTTGAGTGATTGCATTGGTCCCAGTCATCACTCCCAAACATGGACTTCAATTGAGATTTCTTTTCAAGTAAACTTTGCAAAGTCAAGAAGCATGTAGCAAATCTCGTGATTCCGGGTCGCACGATATCTCTTTTCTTTGTAAAAGATCTCATCATTGCCAAGGTTTTATGATGAGCGTAAATATAAATAGTGAGAGTCTTTGCTTGATCAATGACTTTCTTAAATTTAGGCAACTTGGAAATTCCTTCAAGCATGAGATCAATCGTGTGAGCAGCACATCCCGACCAGAAAATGTTAGGCCTCTTCTCCTTCAAATACTTTGCTGCTAATACGTTGTTTGTAGCATTATCGGTAACAATCTGGACAACATTTTCTGGCCCAACTTCTTGAATGCACTTGTCCACATATTCAAATATGAATTCTCCGGTATGAGATTCATTTGAAGCATCTAGGGAAGAAAGAAAACACGTACCTTCCTTACAATTAACACATAAATTCATTATGCTCCGCTTTTTTCTATCAGTCCATGCATCAGTCATTATAGAACACCCATTTCGTGCCCATTCTTCTTCATGGCCCTTAAGCAGTCCCTTAGTCCTCTCAACTTCTTCTTTCAATAAGGTCTCTCTCAACTGATATTGGGTTGGAGGTACCCAATCAGGTCCAAACTGTCCTAGGGCCTCACAAAATAATTTAAAACTATCATTATCAATAGCGTTGAAAGGAATACCTGCTTCGTACACCCATCGAGAGCAATATTGCTGCACAGAGTGTGTTCTCTCCTTAAAAAGTGTGTCTGTGATCACCTGTTGTTTTTTTGAAACACCTAAAGAAGCTTCAGGATTAATGACTGTTGCAAACTTATCCATTGGTCCGAGAAAATTAGGACCCTTCAAGACTCCTAGCTCTTCTTCCAAATCATCTTCCAACTGTTGCCTATCATCAATATTAACCTCAGCTCTAAGCATATCTTCTTCTTTTTTCTTTTTTCTTTTCTTGTTCCTTGCATTCATTATTGCATTTCGGCATATTTCTTGATCTTCTTTTGTTGCTTTTGGACACGGAGCAACGTTTCCAGTGATATGAGCAATATGCTCTTTCATTCTGTACACTCCTCCTGACATACTTTTGGAACACGATATGCACCTTACCCGGTCCAAATTTTTGGGATCACATAACATCCCATATTTCCATCCAACATCTTCTGAATTACGCTTTGGTAGAGAAGAAACCACATCGGAAGAAGCTTGTGATTGTGGGGCAGACGCACTTGAAGAATCCATACCTGAAAATTAATAAAAGTCATTAGTTCAATACAATCTGCTAAATAAAATATAGTGAAAGTGCATACCAATATATTTTGTTATAAAATTGAGTAGCTACTAAATACTTTATCAGTACTTTGTAAAGCTTTAAACAACATTAGATGTTTTATCAATCTGCAGAAAGCACATTTCAAAAATTATTGTCTCAAACTAGAGTGTTAATAACTTAATACTTAATATAATAGGTATCACTGGCTAAGTGAAGCCTATAAGTTGGGCTGACTTGATGTTTTTTTTAATGCAGAGATACTTCAATAGTTCAAATGTTCAATGAATTGAAGCATGTAACTGCCTAGCTAACAGAGTATGCATAAATGATTGCCATGCTAGCAGTAACATATTATATCAGCAACGTTTTAAAGAATTAAAAGTTAAAACACAAAACCAGAATATAACCGAATTTGTTGACCTCATTACAGACTATAAAGAACCTCCATAACCCAAATATAGTTGAATAATTAACAACCCCAACTCCAAATGAGGCATTATCAGTAGCAATTTAGCAAGGAGTAACATATTTAATCATCGTTCACTATAAAAAAAACCTTAAGCTGTTTGAGCAAATTTAGTAAGGAGTCCTAAGGGAAACGGAATAACTGTGGCACGTTTGAGAAAAAGGGTACCTGTGTCGGAAACGGAAAGAGAAGCAATGAGGGTCTTGAGATGATTGAGATGAACGGCGCTAGAAAGGGAAACGAGCAGAAGTCGTACACCAGAAGAAAATTCGAAGCGGCAAAATGAAATTTCATTTGGCTTAGAAGGTTAAAAGAAGTACTTGGCCGACAACCCTAAATCGGCGATTTGGGCGATTTGGCCGCGTAGGCGGTCTGGGCGGCCGATTACGCGGTTCTCCGACTAACATGCCCGATTATGTGTTTTTCGCCTCAGTATACCACCGCCCAGCGATTAGGCGGCGCCTAGGCGCCCGCCTAGGCCGAGTTTTTGATCAATTGCCTACAACTATGGCTGAGGCGGTTGAACTAGCTAGAGCACAAGAGGAAACATTAGTTGCCACATATAAATCTTCTAACTTCTATCAAAAGAACCTCTCAAATCTGTCAGCTACAAAGTGGCAAGGAGAATGTGGCTGCTGATGCTTTATCAAGAGTCCAGGGAGCTGAAAGCTGGTGTATGTCTATATCACTGGTGAATTCAGACCTAGAAAAACTGATTCAAGATAGCTATACATGTGATGCACACCTTCGATCAATCATTCAAAGGTTACAACAACATCAGCCTATAGAGAAATACTCTTTGCAAGATGGGGTGCTATGAACAAAAGGGAAAATTGTTATTGGTAATGAAGCTTCATTGAACGCTAAAATTATGTTTTGGCATCATACTTATGGTGAGGCAGGACATTCAGGAAGGGATGCAACATTAAGAAGGATTAAAATAATGTTTTACTGGAAGGGTCTTCATAAAGAGATCAACAAGTACATAAGAGAGTGTTTAGTTTGTCAAGCTAACAAATATGAAAATGTAGCTTATCCAGGGCTTTTGCAACCTCTACCAATTTCAGAGGAAGGGTGGGTTGATACATCCCTAGATTTCATTAGTGGTTTACCTAAGTCTGCAGGAAAAAAGGTAATACTAGTGGTAGTGGATAGACTTAGTAAAGGAGCTCATTTTGTGGCTTTAGCACACCCTTTTACTGTAGTTGAAGTCGCCCAAGCTTACTTGGATAACATTTTTAAGCCACATGGCTGGCCAAAGAGTATAGTGAGTGATTGCGATGCTATCTTCCTAAGTTAGTTTTGGAAAGGGTTGTTCTTTATTTAAGGAACCCAGTTTAAACTATTATTTGCCTACCATCCACAAACTGATGGTCAAACAGAGATAGTGAATAAATGTTTGGAATCATACTTGAGATGTATGTGTAGTGACAGGCCCAAGGAATGGAGTTTATGGCTTCCATTAGCACAATGGTGGCTTAATACTCACTTTCAAACATCAGCTGGTACCACTCCATATGAGATCATATACAACCAGCCTCCTCCTTTACATCTTCCATATCGGCCTAGGGAGTCCAAAGTTGAAGCTGTAGATATATCAATGCAAATGATGGAATAAATGATTAAAAGGCTCAAGGAAAACCTGGTTAAGTCTCGATCAAGGACGAAATAGTTGGCTGACAAAAGAAGAACTGAAAGAGAGTTCTTTATAGGGGATTGGGTTTGGTTGAAGCTACAACATTATAGGCAACAGTCTGTGTAAACAAGAAGTAATCAGAAATTAGCAGCAAGGTTTTTTGGACCATTTCAGATCAAAGAGGTTATTGGAAAGGTTGCTTATAAGCTCAAATTACCAGCTGATTCTCAAATACATGATGTTTTTCATGTGTCACAACTCAAGAAATTTAGAGGGGAATTACTTGTTGCTGCCCATATTCATGCTTGGTTCAGATGACAGTCTGCAGAAATGGTGCCTCAGCGAGAAAGAATTTTGGAAAGAAGTGTCAAGTTCCAAAATAAAGTGCAAATGCAATTTTTAATACAATGGAAGGGTTTTTCTGTTGAAGGAGCAACATGGGAGTCAGCAGAAACATTGAGGACTCAATATCCTTATTTTGATGTTAGCGGAATCCTGGTCTGACTTGAGGACAAGTCAAATTTGTCTAAGGGAGGAGGAATGTAACGGTAGTTTTACCTACCGGCTACCGTTAGTGTTACTAGCTAGTAGTTGAGAATAAGTTGTAAAGTAGTTGATATAACTGTTAGAACTAGCTATGATACATGTCTATAAATAATGCTAGGAAGTATCAATGAAAGCAGTTTATCACTATTCCAAACATTTTACGTTCATTCCAATTAGTTATGATGTTTATCTTTTAATAAATTTAGTCGCCATTAACAGTCAAGTAAAGCTCCTCTTACATCCATAATATATCAAATGGAAAGTATTTCAAAATTCTATACTCCCAATTTTTTTGGAGATCGTCTGACTCGGTGATCCCTTGCTCCACCCATTGGTGAGTCTCTATTTGATTAGGTCCTCCCTACATAAGTTTAAATAAATCCATTGGCCAGATCGATAGGTACAAGGTACATTCATATTTCATTATACGTTTTTTCACACTCAATTATCGAGTTCATAATAACACATAAAAAGGGGTGTTAATCCACTTATTGAAGGACATGTGGATTGTTGGATTGTAGCGGCAATAGCTAGGTTTGGACGGATAGGTGGTTTAAGGCGGTGACAGGTTGGGTTATTGGTGGATACGGGAGGTGGTTGGCATATTTCACTAGTAGAAAACTGTCTTATAGTGACACTTCGTCAGTGACACTTTGTGATAAAGTGTCACTAATAGACGACATATTGTCTTGGAAATGCATATATGACATAGTTTTGTGACACAATGGTATCAGGATCGTATAATGATACTGGCAAAAATAAAAACGAGTCATATTTGTAATTCTCATAAGATATCTATCTTGCTCGGGGTCATTATTCTAAATAATAGAAATTAGTTTTCGCTACTTTAAAGGAATCTTAGACTGAGAAGCTCTTCCTTCTCTCTTATTCGTTCGCATCGTTACGTTCTTCATCCGGACGATGCCGTCGGTGGAGGGTCACGAACCGGAGTGACCTTTCGTTTTCGCTCCTCAATCGACATCCCACGTCTGCTCTTCCATCGACATCTACATCTAGACTGCTCTCCGCTTTTATGGCTCCAGAGCTTCAAACTCCTCGAGTTTACCGGCGTGAACTTCAAACTCCTCAATCGTTGGGTCCAGAAATGAATTCATCAATGGTTTTCCGAAGCTATGAAAACCCAATACAAGTTGCACAAGAGAGAGGTTCGAGTCCCGTGTTTGGTTTTCACCCCGAGCATGTACCAAGGAAGGGGAGAAAGTCTTCGATTCGATCTTTCTGTGCAAGGTTGCTGTTGGTCCCAGTTTAGCAGACTAACGATTAGCTAGATGAACATCATCGATAGACAGAAGAGAAGATTTTCATATAATGATATTAGATTTATCGAGAACAGTGAAACCTTCTTTCTGTAGTATCGAGAAGTAAATTTGGCAGCGTAAGGCTAATGTGTATTGATCGATATCGGTACCTGTACACAAGGCGCGTATTTATAGGCGCTGTACAGGTTACCGATTTAGGTAAACCTTGGAAGTTGGGCCAAGGCCTTTTTGGGCCTTATTCCCTTTACCTTATTTGCTACATAATAAATACTAATCTAATACCATAAATGGTATAACTAGTCTACTTTATTTAAACAAGACATTACAGACAAACTTGACCCACAATAAAAGTTCTAACAATCTCCCCCTTTGTGGTCAAGTGCCGTCTTGCTGGGTTTCTTCACTTCTGAGCTTTGTAATAGTTCTTTCTGAGATTAAGTGCGTGCTCATAGTTTCTGAGTGAGTTTCTTTTATCAAGTTGTTTCTGGATAGCCTGTAGAATTCTGTCTATTCTGTGTGCTTCCTTTAATTCGGCATCTGTCGCATCTGCATACTGTTGCTGTCTTTCTTTGAATGCTTCTCTGATCGGTTGCAGCTTTTCTTTCACAACCTTCAGGGTTCCGTCACAGTACTTGTTGATTTCATCAATGAATAGCATACGTTTCTCACCATTATGATTTACATAGATAAGCGTGATTGGTCTATCAAAAATGTAATACTCAGGGAAGTCCTCAAGTTCTTGTCCATACAGCTTTGGTTTTGTGAGATTTGTCTTTGGCATGTTTGTTTCAAGCGCCATCTGAAGATCATGAGAGGCAAAGAATTTGATTTGTCTGAGCATAAAGCGCTTGAGTGCATCCAGCCCATTTTGTGTAGTTGTGTCACGAGTGCCCGGAATTTCTTGAAATGCAAGATACATCTGATATATGTCATCCATTTTTAGCATATAGAGATCATTTTCCTTGCACGTGAATTCTGTTCCGTCAGACCGTTGTAGATGGTAGACAGAGAGTTTGATGTCTTGGGAGTTTGTTTCACCCACG